GTGTGTCTGTGTGTGTGTGTGTGTGTATGTATGCATGCATATGCATGTGCTTGGATAGACTAATGGGGAGGGGTCATCTGCTCTTGTTGGACAAAGGGTCACTGTTGTTAGAGCTAGGGGCTGATAAGAGATGTCCTTTGTGATTGGCGGGTCGTCCCTGTTTTTTTATTTAGAGGCAGAATGTGCATTCATCACCTAGTGGGTGGTAGGTTCCATGCCAAGCATGTAGTACTTGCTTTAGTTTTGTCTTTTACCTGTTTTTGGAGATACAAGCAACCCTACCCAATTTTATTGATGAAGAAACTGAGCTTTAATGAGGTAAATGTAATTTGCTCAAGTTATTGGTTACTAAGTAATAGGATTTAGGATTTGAACCCTTATCTTTTGGATTGTCTTTCAAAAAAATCAAGAGGCATCTGGTCACAGATCAAGGGGCCAGCATCAAGATCCTAGCAACTCGGGCCCTAAAGCTTTCATAGGTAGTTGAAGGAGGTTGGGACCTGGCTGGGCTCAGGGAAATTTTCCAGGGAGGCTGACCTCACCCTACTCTCTCAGTATCCTGAGAAGGCACAAGACAGCTTGCCTGGGATCTGGAGTAGAGCAGGTGATTTCGGCGACCTTTCCCCAGGGAGGGTGGCTCTGCTGTGGAAGAATGCACCTTGTACAGAGACCTGGTCATCCAGAGTGTCAGCAGTGGCTTGAGTGCTGTGTGGTGGGGTGGGATGGGTTTTGGAGTTCTAGTCAATGCAGGTTGTCCTGGGCTTTCTGCCTTAGGAAGCATCCCCACCCTATCATAGACAAAACTATAACTGCTGCCTTCAGTTTTTTCCCAAGGATCAGGATCTGGATCAGCTGCCTTTTGGCTGTGGAACTGGAGAACACTGTGTTTCCTACACTGAGGCCAGTTGGACAGCATGGGTCAAGGGCAGCTGTGGGGCCCCCCACCCAGTTCTGCAATGCTGGGTGGAGAGGATGGGCTGGGTGGAGTATAAACGAGCTAATATGCACCAAGCCACATGCCTCCCTGCCGGCTGGGAAGACAGAGCAGGAGCCTAGGCTGGGGAACACACTGAAGGCCAAGGACAGAGTGCAGAGCAGGGTTGCCCATGGACTTAGTTGGCCTCCTGTGCACCTCTGACCCCCCCATGTGCTCCCTCCTCTTTAGAGGAGGGGGAGGATGGACTTTAGAGGGGACCAGAGCTGAGCAGGGCCTTTCTTCCCATTCTGTGAAGGGTGAGGAGCAGGCAGGACCAGCCTCTGCTGGAGACACACACAGGTCTTCATGCTGGTGTGGGCAAGCGTAATTCCTTTCCTGTTCAGGCAGGAGTCCTGAGGCAGGTGGGAAAGGCCAGTGCCCCAAGGCTTGCCAGGGATCAGTAGGAGAGGTCCCTAGGTAGTGTGATTTTTGCAGAGCTTCAGGTGTGGAAGGGTAGGAGAGAGTCTTGAGGGGCAGTTGGGCCAATTAAAAGGGATTAAGGAATGCCAGGTGATGCTGAGGGTGGGGGGAAGGGGATGGGGTTGAGTCATAGTCCCACTATTACCATGACAACTGATAAATAAATCCTCCCAGATCGGGGTTTGCTGCCCCATCATGCCCAGGCAGGACCATTATGGGACAAGGAGCCCCAAGAACGCATCAGTCATCTCCCCTCTCCTAGCTCCACACCCCTGCTCCAGCCCAAAAGAGCAGCCAGGAGCTGGGAGCAGGAAAGTCTGCCTTCATTTTGACCTCTCTCCCCACATTAAATGAAGGGTAGAACTGATCATTCTGGTTTCCTGGGCACCTCTTAACTCCTGACCCAGTGATAAACAGTTCTCTTCACAGCCAAGTAAAGCAAAGACATTGAGAAGTTGTGTCAATCCCATCCCAGGCAGATCAGTTTCTGAGCGTATCTCTTTCCCCCAGATAGCTGGGGCTGGCACCTGACTTCTGCATCCTCCAGTCCCCACCAAACCAATGAGAAGCCTGGTCTTCATTTCTTGTCTTCCCTTTCCTAGCAGAGAAGGCCAGTGGGCTCATTAGGAAAGGGGTGCCCTGACTTGAGCCTCTGGTGTGGTTCCTGGCACTCCTGATCGATGTGTCATTTTGCTGCCTTCCCACGTCTCCCAGAGAGCAGATGGGTATCTTGATTCGGGAGGAAGGCAAGGAGGCAACCAGCAAGGGGCCCCTTTTGATCATGCTGCCTATGTGCCCCCACTGTGTGTTGGTTTAGGGGTTATTTTTACAAGGGGAACAATACAATACAGGACACATATAAGATTATTTATAATAGTCACCCAAAGAATGATATACCTAAGAGCGTACAGGAAATCTGTCCACACACTATAGACCAGGAATCCAGCTGAGGGCCTGGATCTGGAAATAGTGTCCTACACAAGGCCAGCTCAATAGAGCCCATAACGATGCTTCCCATGAATCCAGCTAGAGGCCCAGAGCTCATAACAACACCTCACGCAGGCCTGTTTCACGGATCTGTGCTGGGAAGGCCCAAAGGTCAGTGGTGGAATCTACAAAGTCTGTGCCAGCAGGTGAAGGATCTGTGCTAGCAGGCTGAGGGATCTGCACTTGAGCCAGGAAGTGATGCTCAGAAGAACCAAAACTCCCCCAAAAGGTACCACAGCCAACCTCGGCAACAGTGAGGTCCCGAGCTCCTCCGATGATCAAGATGGCCGAGTTCCTATGAGGGAAGCGAATGCGGCAAGCTTTTCCAGGAGGCCATCAGTGCACCATCTTCCCCTCTGGAACCAGGAAACGATGCTCCGAGTGAGGACCAGAGCTCCCTCAAAGTGAACCGAAGCCATTCTCAGTGCCAGCGAGGTCCCGAGCTCCTCAGAGGATGAAAACAGCCAAGTTCATCAGGAAAGCCAGCATGATGAGCTCCTCCAAAATAACCAACAGCTCCCCACAGCCTCTTTCAGCTCCCCACAGCCTCTCTCAGCTCCCAACAGCCTCCTTCTTCTCTAGGTCTGTCTTTATGCTGTTGGCAACAGTCCTCAGGTGGGCCTCCCACGCCCAGCGCCACACTTACTCAGTTCAGCTGGGGGTATAAGTTGACCACCAGTTATCGATCCACTACAATCCATCCCTGGTCAACTTAATAACCATACACATTTCCTTATACCATAGTCTCTAGTGGCAGATTTGTGAAAAGTTAACATATCTTAATCTATTCACATTTACATTAATATAACAGTTACATATATACAATTCTTTTTTTTTTTTTTTTTTGCACTCATTCCTGCACCAAAAACAAAATATTCAAAGGGTGACCAAAATTTAGGGTTAAAGCACAATACTTTGCTTAATTAACCTGATTACAAACATATATCTAAAAACAACATAAAAACATTAAAAGAACTTACAATCACAGTCCTTACTGCCCATTAATTTTTACAATGCATGGCAAGACTGAAAAAATGGTGATCTCCTGCAATTCAAATACACTTATCTTTGGGTGAAAGATTTCAGTTCATGTTTTCATTGTCCTGTTCTTAGCAGTCATGTTTTCCTCTGTTTCATCCTTGCAGCCCAAAGCTCCATTAGCTCCACCCCTCTGGCCAAATGTTACATACCATATTACTGGCTTTTGCTCTTAATTTCAAACATAGATCTGGCCAAAAGCTCTCAACAGTAAACATGCTACCATCCCAACAAACGGACTACATTGAAATTTAGTTTCTCCAACCAGGCAATATTTCTAAACACAGCAAAATGCAGACCAACTTCTGCCAAAGCACAGTATGTTACTTGGGATCCAGCAGCCAGGGCAGTCCTTCTCAATTGAAGCCTCCTGAGCTTCATCTCAATTGGCAGCATTTCCATCAGTGCTCTGACTTTCCAGGCTCCAATCAGAGTCTCCAATATAGGTTGCAGCATACAGGTTTGCCTCTTCGGCCAGTCTCTCAAAACTTTTCTGAATTAATTCCAAAGGTTCTTAAGTCACATGGCCACGCAACATCACAACAATAACCCCACTCTCCCGGTACCAATTTTGTGTTGGTTTGGAGGTTATTTTTGCAAGGGGAACAATACAATACAGGACACATTTTATAAGATTATTTATATTAGTCACCCAAAGAATGATATACCTAAGAGTGTGCAGGAAATCTGTCCACACACTATAGACCAGGAATCCAGCTGAGAGCCTGGATCTGGAAATAGTGTCCTGCATGAGGCCAGCTGAAGACCTAGAGCTCATAACAGTATCTCACACAGGCCTGTTTCACGGATCTGTGCTGGGAAGGCCCA